CCTCCTCTGACTAAGTAGACCAGGGACCATGATGGCCCGGGACGACGGAACCATGGGATCTTAACCGGGCCCATCATCCATTCTCCCATCATCCGTTTTAAGTGAAAGATGATAAAATTTCTAATTTTAAATATCAAATCTTTCAACTTTCCAAAATTTCAAATTCAAACCCGTGCTGCTACTATATGCCAGATAACCTGTATTATCTACGTATTTGATTGACGACTAGCGTTAATTGAAAGTTCTCTCTTGTTATCGGGAGGGGTAATTAATTATAGGGGCTTGCGCCTATAGGAATCCAGAACTCAGATCATAAAGTCCTCACAAAATGAGGGTGAAATCTCTGGGTAGTGTCTTATTTACAAATTCATTTGTCTTCCCAAAATTTACCCCGAAACTTAATTCTGTTAACCCCCCACCCCCTGCAAAAAAAAAAGCAGCAGGCGGAGGCTGAGGCCGAATTTTCGGAGCCCACATACATATAAAAGTAAGAAGATTTGTTATAAAATTGGTTTAAATGTAAAAATTTTGATAATTGGAAAATATATAAAGATGCTCGTAAGGAGTCTAAGAAAATAATATGCGATGCAAAGATTTTAGCTTTTAATGATTTATACAATATATTAGATACTAAGAGGGGCGAAATTTATATGTATAAGTTAGCCAAACAAAGAGATATGAGTAGTAAGGATTTAGTTCAAGTGAAGTGTATTAAGGATGAAGATCAAAGAGTGTTTTTATTAGAAGAAGGTATTCAACAAAAGTGGATAAGATATTTTTATAAGCTCTTCGATGAAGATGATGAGAATGCGATTGACTTTAGTGACCTTTGCACCCTAAATAAAAATACATATTTTTTATTTTATCGGCGTATTAGTAAAACCGAAATTAGAGAGGCTTTAAAGAAAATGAAGTGTGGAAAAGCTGTTGGCCCTGATGATATCCTAATAGAGGTGTGGAATGCTTAGGAGAAGAAGGAATTTCTTAGTTTACTAATTTTTTTAATATTATTTTGAAGGCTAAAAAGATGCCAGATGAATGGAGAATGAGTGTGTTGATTCTTATTTTTAAGAATAAAGGTGATGCACATGATTGTGAGAATTATAGAGGAATTAGGTTACTGTGTCATACTTTAAAATTATGGGAGAGATTTATGGAGCATAGGTTACGACGTGATGCTAACATTTCTCAAAATCAATTTGGATTCATGCCGATAGGTCTACATATGATATTTATTGATTTATAGAAATCTTATGATAAAGTTCCAAGAGAAGTGCTATGGAGAGTTCTAGAAAAGAAAGAGATTAATAATTCTTATATTCAAGTCATTAAGGATATGTATGCATGAGTTATTACTTGTGTCCAAACACAAGATGGTTTGACTAAGTATTTTCCTATTTCAATTGGATTACATCAAGGATCAGTCTTATGCCCATATCTTTTTGCTTTAGTCATAGATGTTCTCACTAGACATATGCAAGAGGTTATACCCTGGTTTATGCTTTTTGCTGATGATATTCTTCTTGTTGATAAGACTAGAGAGGGAGTTGAAGGTAAACTTGAATTATGGAGGTCAACCTTAGAGTCTAAAGGCTTTCGTTTGAGTAGATTTAAAACAGAATATATGGAATGTAATTTTAGTAATAATAGTTCTAGTGGGGGGGTGGATTTTGACTTTGGTTGATCAAGTCATTAATAAGAGTACACGTTTTAGATATATTGTGTCTATTGTTCCGAGTGATAGTGAAATAGATGGGGACATTATTAGTAAAATTTAAGTAGGATGGTTGAAGTGGATGAATGCATCGGGCTTGTTGTGTGATATAAAGGTCTCCCTTAAACTTAAGGGAAAATTCTATAAGATGGTGGTTAGACCTGCAATGCTTTATAGTGCATAATATTGGCCATTAAAAGAGAAGATTAATATTAAGTTAAGTGTTACAGAGATGAGGATGCTCAGGTGGATGAGTCTCTTTACTCTTAGAGATATGATTCGAAATGAGCATATACGTGAAAAGGTTGGAGTAGCTTCTGTGGAAGATAAGATTAGAGAGAGTCACCTTAGATGGTTTGGTCACATAAAACGGCGGCCTTCTGATGACCCGATTAGAAAAGTAGATGTATTAGATTTGACTTATGTTAGGAAGGGTAGAGGTAGACCTAAAAAGACTTGGTTAGAACATATTAGAAATGACCTTTTTTTTATTAGATTTAAATAAGAATATAATTTTTAACAGGGCACAATGTAGAAAAATGATTCATTTAGGCGACCCCGCATAGTGGGATAAAGGCTTGATGTTTTTGTTGTATATATGTACATATATGTATATGTAGATATTACATTGTTTTTGTATTCTATCCTATTTATGTGCGTTGCATAACAGTGTTCTATGTATCTTGTCTGTGATTTCTAGATTCTTCAAGGCTGCTATTGTGGAATGGTAGTGAGGGCTGTGGCTATGTGAATCAAAGGTGAGGGTTGGATGTGTTGATCGGCTAAGTGAAAGTTGTTGTTGGTTGTTGTGAGGAAGTGGAGTTTACTTGGGCAATAGAGAGCAAAGGAGAGGTGGTTTGATTTGTGCATATCGGCGATCAAAGTGGCTTGGTTGGGGGGAAATCGGCGGGAGGTTGGGATTGGATCAGAGGCCTGCTGGTATGAGAAACAGACTGATTGAAATGGAGGCTTAGTTGGCACAGTGATTGGGAGGAGCAAAGAGTTTGAATGGCTGTTGGAGCATGTGGGGAGATGGGAAACGAATGGCTGAGATACTGGTTGAGGTTGTGGGTAACTACGGCTAGTTCAGTGCGGGACTGGGAAAACGAGACGACAATTTGAGGAGAGGTTCGGCACACATGGGGTCAGAAGGCTAAGGCTCGACGCCTTTGGTTGGCTGGATGAAGGAGATTGTGGCTCGGTGCCGGATCAAACGTGTGACGAAGATGGAGGTTGAGTTGTATGCGTGGAGTTAGGCACAGCTTGAGTTGGGCAGGAGGATTTGTGCGTAACAGAGTGGGGAATCGCTCAAGCGTGTGTTTTGGCTTGCAGGCATGTAGGTTTTACGGTAGCTGAAGGACTTCGTGTGCGGGAAATAGAAGAGCAGGAGGTTTTGTTTCGTGCAAAGCTTCTGAAAAAAGTGAAGTCCTCATTCGATTTCGTTTTAACGATGAGGCATAGCCTCGATTCGACACGGGAGCAAAAGATTGAGACTATCTGCAGTGATCAACGCGGTATTTATGCCATGATTTTAGGATATTTGAGCAGGACTTCGATTTGTATGAGGCGAGTTCATTAATTTTGATTTTGTTTTTTAATTAATTAAAGTAATAATAATAATATCATTTTATTATTATTATTAAATTTTAAAGTGGTAAAAATGAGTCAGTCGGTCAAAGTCACCTCGATTTGTGCATCGTTGCCTTGAAGTTCATGTTGAATTCCTTGCGCGATTTTAATTGAACAAATTTATGGTCATTCTAGGCTTTTGACGACGCTCTGAACTCAATGACGAAGTCTATTTTTCTATCGAACGTCGTTTGAGCAACATCGCACATTAGTTTCGGGTGTCGATCGTCCGTTTCGACCGATCTCGTCTGATTTGACTGCGAGGGGTTCCCTCTTAGGTGAATTCGACGCTGTCAATGGCGCTGTCCATTTGACGATAAGAAGTTGTTTGACCCTTCAAGTGACGCGTCATGCATCATTTTGCCTCATTTCGTGCATTTTTGCGTATAGGGGTCAACATGGAGTAGCTTCTTTGCCCACAAATGTCCATGATTTGGGGACTCTTGACTATTTAACACTGTACTTGGGCACCGGTGCAGCAACTCTTGCACACTTCTTGTTGTATTCAGGAGCTATAATGCATTGCTTCCGAGGAATGCCCTAGAACTATCACAATGTATTAAATGATTCATATCATGATTATTCGATAAGTTTTATGTTAGTTGTTGACTACCTAAGCAACTTTCAACTTTTCTCATCTAGGACGTAGGACCTGACAACGACAATGTTATTTTCATTGATATCTTAATGTTTCGTTTCTAATACATCTAACTTTATCGCCTATCGGCTTCTCTAAGAAGGTTCTTATCTCTTGTCTTAGCTATATCTCCCAAACAATTTAAATGATGCATTTATTTTTTATTAAACCATCAGGCATTTCTAGGATCTCTCCAACAGTTTTAATGTCTTTCTACATATTTGATCTTCATTTACTCCTATAGAAACTCTCAAAGATCATCTTTAGTGAACCTTTTGTTGGTGGCGAGATATTATTACAACAAATTAAGTACCAGTATACTTACTGAACATTATGGTTACAGTATTACAAATATATCCGTTTATCTGATGCTTCCTTTAGGTTATAAGTTGTGCCTGCTATAATTTATGTTGTCCCTAGTCCCTAATCCAAAGAGGCATTATTGCTTATGCAGCCTCCCTTTGTACCTTGACAGTTATTTAATAACTTAAGGCATCACTCATCAGAAAATATTATAAAATGAGGATTCATAAAGCGGATCTCAAATATTTGAGATAAGTTTAATAATGATATGTTTCTTAAAGGCTTCATTTAGGGCGGCTTTCTTACTTCTTAAAGCAACTTTTAAGTACAAAAATTTAAATTTTTTTACTAAAAAGCTTCTTTATGAAACAATAATAAAGTCTTCCCAAATAAAACGTCTTCGTTCGGGACGGCTTTCTTCCTACTTCTTACAGCAGTTTTTTAGTACAAAATTTTAAAAAGGCTTTGTTTGGGACGACTTTTTTACTACTTCGCAAAGATGTTTTCTAGCACAAAAAATAATTGTTTTATACTAAAAAGCTGCTTTACGAAGCAGTAAGTAAGTTGTCCCAAACAAAACCTAAGTGTCAAATATTATTCATCAGCTGAGAGTCACTTATATCTTTAAAATTTCTTCTGAACTTATCTGTACAACTTTCATAAACCTCTCACCTTAGCACCTACCTTTGATCTTGATTATCCTCAAATGTTATGCAGGTACACTGATCCGAATGGCAGGAATGTACCAGGATTACATGAAACGCATACCCATCCCCACTTTTAGTGGCTCTGTTGTTCCATTTACATCTTGGCAAGGCTTGGCTCAATCGCTGAAGCAGCTATACAAACAGCCTCTACATTATCTTACAAATACTCTGCTAAAACAATGGGATAGTGAAAGGTTTGGGAGTGATAATGAGCGTCAGCCACTCGATGCTTTAGTCCATCCTGTGAAGGCTCAGACTCTCATCTGGCTCACAGAAGAACTACATAGGCTCACTGCATCTCCATACCATTTGGCCAAACTATGGGCTTCTGATCCTTTGTACCATTCCCAGATTGATCCCTCTCTATCCAACTAAAAGCTTTAGGGGCAGCTTAACTTCTGATACCAACTTCTCTTTGTTTCATTTTACTGTTACTGTATTGTTTCAATACTCAAGAAATTATTTGGTTTGGACACCGGACATAGAGAATCATCCGGATTTTTCTCTGTCTACAGTAAAAGTGCAATTATTGTAGTAGCTGCGCTTTGACTGCGCTTTTACCGTAGATAGAGAAAAATCCGGATGATTCTCTTTGTCCGGTCTCCGCACCTAATAATTTGCCCAAATACTCAGCTTTCTTCAATAACTACTGCCAGTGTGTTTGTGTTGTTTCAGATGTATTCTTTCTTTTATATAGAGGGTCAGGTTCTGATAATGGAGTATTTGCCTTCATTGTGATATTTAGTTACAGAGTAATGGTCAAAATAGTCTTACACTCCCAAACCTTTATTCATAAAATAGATGGAGAAAATTAACATGAAGTTATGAAGAAAAAAAAAATAAAAAGTTGTTAAAAAAATTGTCAAAAAAAATAAATAATGCATTTCGATTAGTATTTATAAAAGAAAAAAATTTGTGTCATGATATACTGACTAGAAAGTTGTGAGGGTGAGCTGAAAGCCTTTAGATCTACTTTGAGATTTGTAGAATATTAATTAATGATGTATCGCATATTTTATTGACTATCCTGAAAAAATAGTTTATCCTAACAAGATTTTGTTTTCCCTTCATAAAATCTAACCAAAGATCAGACAAATGATGACTCTAATGCATCAAGGGTTAATTGGTGAATCTAAGTATTGCACACCACACGAATCTCAAAGTAACTTTCTAGGGTGTTTAACAGGTAAGAATATTTGCACTTAGTAAATACATCTACCTATTTTTGAGTTTGTATATAATATTAATGTTTTAAGACCAGCTCAAAAAATTGTTTAGGATTGCATTCACATTTGCATGAAATTTTTATGATATACATGAACGACTAATGCAATAAATCCAATATGCAAATGCAGTATTTTAGTAGTGAGGGAGGCGGTTGCAGGGATATATATATATATATAAATTTTAATTTAGTAAATTCTAGGTACATTAAATCCTAAAAAATATTTGACAATTTAATTGTTAAATCATGTGAAACTGTTTAGACAATATAATCCAAAATTTAAGGTGGTTGGTTCATTTAGAAATTAAATTTAATATATTATTATTTAAATTTATGTGTTAAATACAAGTTACTAATAAACTTTAATTTTAATTACTATCAATAAGTTATAATATTAAGTAATATAATTAGAAGCTTGCTTAGTTATTAAATAATTTAATTATTAATTATAGAACTAATTATCAAACTATTTATTTAGGTGTTAATTTAATATGTATTTGATATCTACTTATATTGATAATTATCTAATTAATTAATTAGTTAATTATTTTTTGAAATAACTAATTATGTAATTAGTACTTCTACTAATGATTTTATTCTTTATTTTCAAAAATGTTTGATTAGTTTTAATTATTAGTAATACTATTAATTATTTTATTAATCACTTAAATATTCTACTATTAACTAATTAATTATTTATTATTCACAATGTTAATTATATAATTAATTATTCTATTTCAAATTCTAAACCCTAAGCTAATTATATTCATTTTAATTACTAATTATACAATTAATTGTTTAATTTTGCTTATTTAATTATACTATTAATTATTTAATTAATTATTAATATTTTAGATGGAGGATTAATTAGAATCTTTTTCACCTCCTCCAATGATGTCGGGTCAAAAGTCACGATAGGAGCTCACTCACCATGAAGGTAACAATCTTTCTCCACAACAAGTACGTCACACGAGTTGTAAATCACTTAATTCCATCAAACTACAAGATTTAGTAAATTTGAACTTTACGATGAAAAACTGCTAATGGGATGTTTAGCAACAAGTAGGATTTAGTAAATCCGGGTTTAGTAAATTGTAGGCATGTTAAATTCTAAAAACTATTTGACAAGATAGATGTTAAATCGTTTTAAACCATGTGAAATTGTTTGGCAAAATAATCGAGAATTTAAGGCGATTGGTTCATTTAAAAATTTAATTTAATGTGCTTTGAATTGAAATTGTGTTTTAAGTACAAGTAACTTATTAATTTCAATTTTAATTACTATTAAATTATAATAATAAATAATATAATTAAAAGCTAGATAAGTTCTCAAATAATTTAGTTAATTATTATATTACTAGTGATCAAATTACTTATTTAGGTATTACTTGAATAAGTATTTGATATCTAATTATATTCATAAATCCTAATTAATTAGTTAATTATTTTTAAATAACTAACTATGTTAGAACTTTCGCTAGGGCTCTCGTCTCTGCTAGGGCTCCCGCCTTTGCGTTCTCGACGGCCTGCTGGCTGGGGCATTCGCTCCTTGGTGCTCCAGGGAAGTTTTCCTCCCTTGTCTCTTTTTCATGCGGTGTTCCTTTTGTTCATTTTTTTATTTTGCTTCAGTGCTTCCGTTCTTCCTCTCTTATGGGGGGAAGCGGTTGTGCGATCCTGTTTTTGGAGGGATCATTCAAATCTATGTCTTTTCTTGAGGCTCTTGTGGGTTCATCCTCTGATGGTCGTTTTCCTGACCTAAAACCTTCGTCCTTTCGCAGTTTACCTTCGCTGTGGATTTCAGAGGATGAAATCAAGCACTTGCATTGCCTTTTCAATTTTTTTTAATTGGTTTTTTTCTTTCTAAGAGGCCTTATTTGGACTATATCCGTAGGTTTTTCTACTCCCTGAAGCTTTTGGGGGAGGTATCTATTACTTTGCTTGATCAAATGCATGTCTTGATCAAAGTTGAGTAACGACCTTGATTACCATAGAATTTTTCTCCATCGTTCAAAATTGTTATATGAAGTTAACAAAGTGGTATGCTCTTGTTGATGTTGGTGTTGAGTTGTCTATGATCCCTATCTGGGTCTCCTTCCATAACCTTTGCCCTTACTTGTTCTCCCCCCATATCCTTTTTGGCTTGGGATTGATTTTTGGTAGACCGCTTAAGGTTAATTTGGCTACTTATATGGGTTCCAGACCTTCTATCACTCGTGTGCTTGTTGAGCTTGATATCATGAAATCGTATCCGAATAAAGTTTGGTTGGGTCCTGAGAACCTTAGCTATATCCAGCATGTCTCTATGGAAACTTTTCTTGCTTTTTGTGGTTCGTGTAAATGTATAGGGCATTTGAGTGGTGATTGCCGTCCTGCTCAAGCTGCCACGACAAACAGTATTCATGTCCCTCCTTTCCAGTTAAATCTGAATGGTTGTGGTGAGAGTGATAAGGTGGTTAATTCTGTTTCTTGTGATGTTAGGGATGGAGCTCCTATTTCCATTCCCGAAATTGGGAATGTTTTGGTCTGCGACAATAATGTTAGTAATGCCATTGATGTAGCAATTAATATTGTTTCGAATTTATCTAAGGATTCAATTTTGAACTTTGTTGTTGTTGAGGCTTCTAAGCCTGATTTGGTGTTAAGTGGTTTGCCTGATGTTTCTATCACTTATGCTGATGCTCTGGTTGCCCGAGATGTCCAGTCTCTTGTTTTGGTTGGAATTTCGGCTTTGGTGGGCTGTAATAACTTGAGTGATCTCAACTCGGTTGGTGGTGATGCCGTCCTCGCTATTAACTATAGCTTGAACTTGAGGGATAGTCCTTCTAGTGGGAAGGATACGGAGGTGTTGAGAGATAATTCCGAGGAATTGCATTTGATTGTTGAGCCTGAGTGTAATCCTTTGGTTGTTTGTGATGTGGCCCTTAATGGTTCTTCTCCTCCTGTGCAGTCGGATGAATTTCTTGTTGAGGTCCTAGTTAATTTAACATCGTCTAATGCTTTAGTTGGCCATGTGGGTGGCAGATCGGGGGATAGTGTTAGAATGCAAACTGATTGGCTTGTTCTTTCCTCTCCCTCTTCTTCAGAAGCTGAAGAAGATGTTATTTTACCTTAGAAAGGGCTTTTGCGAGATGATCATTTTTGGGTGGGTAAACGTTCAAAGCGGAAATCCAAAAAATAATTCTTTTATGCTGGGCTTGGTGGCTGATGTGTTGGTAATTTTGTGTCCCCTCCTATTAGGTTTCCTATTGCCTTTGCTAGTTATGTCTTGTGTTGGCCTTGCAGATTTGGTTAGCTTTTTTTGGGCGATGATGTGGTGCGGGCTCATCCCTCAGAATCCGTGGCTAGTTGGCAACCTTTGGTGGTGGTTCTTATTAGCAGTGATGGGGTTTGGTTGGCTTTTGGTGGATTTTTGCACTTTTCACTCATCTGAATGGTCTATGCCTGGATTTGAAGTGGTTGGTAGTCTGTGTCAATGCTGAGTCTAGTGGCCTTTGTGCCTAATTTTCTCCTCGTTTGATTTTCCCTATATAATGTCTATTGTATTTGGTTTATCTGGTCATTATGCTATTCTGGCATGTACTGTTAAAAAAAACTAATTATGTAATTAATAGTCATTTTAATAATTTAATTAATTATTTAAATATTAATTATATCATTAATCACTTAAATATTCTAATACTAATTAATTAAATCATTAATTAATAATTGACCATTTAATTATTATTTATTACTTAATTAATTTTGTGGAATTTTTTTTTTGTTTTTAAGGGGAGAGAGGTGCATGTAGATAATTGCATTCCTTATGCCCCTTAGGGCATGCTTGTCCTCTTATTAGTTTCAATTTCTTCCTCTCATCAGTAATAGGACCCCACGTAGTGGGATAAAAGATTGTTGTTGTTGTTGTTGTATGAGTAGAGTTTCGAACGGGTCGCTTCTTCGCCTCCTGGAGCGAGTTGGATCGGAAGTCACACTGTTACAAAGTTCTTCTTGCGCCTCCTTTGACAACGTTATTCATCTCCTTCGACGACGACGGGAGCTCGTTTACTGCGACATTAACAAACTTTCTTTCTTTCGCTCACTTCTTCGGCCAAATTCCATAAATCGGCCCAAACATAGGATTTTGTAAATCTAGGATTTACGACAAAAAAGGGAAAATAGAGGATTTAATTCATTTTTTCTGTTTGGCAGGATCCCGCGTAAATCCTGCTTCTAATTCGCTACCTGTTTGGCAACAAGTGGGATTTAATTTTAGTGGAATTTACTAAATCCTGTAAATATGAATTTAGTAAATACTGAGGGTGTAAAATCCTAAAAAATATATGGTATGACAAATGTTAAATCCTAAGAAACTATTTGGTAACATATTTCAGGATTTATGACAGTTAGAGATTTAAATGTGAAAAAGCTAATTATAAATTTAAAATTAAATTTAAAATTAAAAAATAAAATTAATGTGTTATGAATTTAATAACATGTTAAGTACAAGTTACTTATTAATTTTAATTATAATTAACAAATTATGATGATAAATAATTTAATTAGAAATTATCTTAGTTATTAAATTATTTAATTAATAATTATAATATTATTTATTAAATTACTTATTTATGTGTTAATCTAATAATTTTTTGATATCTAATTATATTAATAAGTACCTAATTAATTAGTTATTTTTTTTAAATAAATAACTATTTAACTAGTACTCATACTAATAATTTAATCAATTTTAAAGTAATTATTTAATTAATTTACTTAATTATTAATATTTTAAATTATATTAATTATTTAATTATGTTAATCAATAATAACTTAGAGGCGTCTAGGGTTTGCCTTTTATCTTCTCTTTTCGTCGTTCCTGTTCGGCATCGTTGCTTCGCAGGAGGTGCAGAGATTGCACGCGTCGCTGCTTCGGCTCCTCCGTGGGCTGTTCGACTTCGCTCCTTCGACGACTTTCCCTTACTGTCGGATCGGAAGCTACGAAATTTTGATCGGGAGCTCGCTGGCTGTGAAGGTAACTTTCTCTCTTTCGCGCGCTTCTTCGGCCAAATCCCGTAAATCCGTCGAACGGAGGGATTTAGTAAATCCCGGATTTATGACGTAAATCCTTAAATCCGGGGTTTATCCATCGCCGGGATTTAAAGCGCGCACAAAAACCGTTTGGCTGGATTTAGCGTAAATCCCGCTAAAATCCGATACCAAACAGCCCCTTAGAGTTAGCTGATCTATTTTCCAGAAACTTTTTGGATTAGTTATTTTATTGATCTTTTTCGAGATATATATTATTCTTGAACCAATATCTCATATTTGTTTGGTTTTAAGCTGTGTATTAAGTCAATCGATTTTTTGTTTTTTTTGTTTTTTGAGTCAGGTGGACCGTAATCCTTCTTATTGGGTGTGTGAGATGTTGTTTTTCTCTTGCTTTTTCTCAGTGCTGTAGACGTTTGGGGCTCTTATTGGAAGCTCATTCATGTCGGCCCTGAAGGAACTTCTTCCTCCGGCAAAGTCAACATCATCCTCCTACTATGACCACTCGAAGGATTCATGGTTCAGGGATAGGTTCAGTTCCTCTGCTTCAGATCCCGCACAAACTCCTGCTGTCAAGCCAAATCCTGTTCCACCCTATGGAAAACGTTCCGGCTTTGTTCCTAGGAAGCCGGAGGACTTTGGGGATGGAGGTGCTTTTCCTGAGATTCACGTGGCTCAGTATCCTCTCGGCATGGGCAGAAAGGATGAGAAGCCTGGCTCAAAGATCCTTCCTCTCACAGTTGATTCCTCAGGAAAGGTTGCCTTTGATGCAATTGTGAAGCAGAACGAAAATGCATCAAAAATTGTCTATTCGCAGCACAAAGACCTTGTTCCAAAGGTTTCTACGGATGAAAAAGAAGAACCTGAGGAGCAATTGCAGAAAGAGATTGAAGAAACTACTCAAAGAACAAAGGCTGCTCTGGAGAAAATTGTTAATGTGAGGTTGAGCGCAGCACAGCCAAAGAATGTTCCAACTCAATCACAAGAGTCCAAATATATCAAATACAAACCTTCGCAGCAGTCTGCTGCGTTCAATTCTGGTGCAAAGGAGAGGATTATTAGGATGGTTGAGATGCCCGCTGACCCTCTTGAACCTCCTAAGTTTAAGCACAAGAGGGTCCCAAAAGCATCGGGTTCCCCACCGGTGCCAGTGATGCACTCTCCACCAAGGCCTGTAACTGTTAAAGATCAGCAGGACTGGAAGATTCCTCCTTGCATTTCTAATTGGAAGAACCCTAAGGGGTACACAATTCCTCTTGATAAGCGTCTTGCTGCTGATGGAAGGGGCCTTCAGGAGGTGCAAATTAATGATAACTTTGCAAAGCTATCAGAGGCCTTGTATGTGGCAGAGCAAAAGGCCAGGGAAGCTGTTGCTATGAGATCCAAGGTGCAGAGAGAGTTGATGCTGAAGGAAAAAGAGAGGAAAGAGCAGGAGCTTCGGGCTCTTGCACAAAAGGCACGATCAGAGAGGACCGGCATCGCACCAGCCCCTGTAGCTCCTGCTCATGCTATGCTTGATGATGACGATGATGATGCAGGAATGGAACAACATGAGCCACCTCCTCATAAGGAGACAAGGGCTGAAAGGGAAGAACGGCTGCAACGTGACAAGATACGGGAGGAGAGGAGGCGTGAGAGGGAGAGGGAGAGGCGCTTGGAAGCCAAGGATGCTGCAATGGGGAAGAAGAGTAAAATTACTAGAGATAGGGACCGTGATATTAGTGAGAAAGTTGCTCTGGGCATGGCTAATACTGGGGCAAGACAGGGTGAAGTTATGTATGACCAGAGACTTTTCAACCAGGACAAAGGAATGGAATCTGGCTTTACTGGTGAAGACCAATACAATATCTATGATAAGGGCCTTTTCACTGCACAACCCACATTGTCAACACTCTATAGACCGAGGAAAGACACTGATTCTGAAATGTATGGAGGTGCTGATGAGCAGTTAGAGAAGATTATGAAGACAGATAGGTTCAAACCAGACAAGGCTTTCTCTGGTGTGCAAGATAGGCCTTCTGGTAGCAAGAGAGACAGGCCTGTAGAATTTGATAAGCAAGAGGAGAATGATCCCTTTGGTTTGGATCAGTTCTTGACAGAGGTGAAGAAAGGAAAGAAAGCAATGGATAAGATTGGTGGAGGGGGTACAATGAAGGCAAGTGCAGGGTCTTCAATGAGAGATGACTATGAGGGAGGGGGTTCAGGAAGGACTCGTATTTCTTTTGAGAGGGCACGCTGAGAGTTGGCTATGAAAATAAAACTATACCATTAGTTTCTGCAACATCTCTGTGTATGCTAAATATTAATGCTTAAACTTTTTGATGTTCAGTCGCATTTATTCAAGCAATTGTGTGAGCACCAGGTTGATAGTTTGATTTCAAGTGTTTTGTGAGCAATAAAAACTATGAAACTTCCCTACTGATGTATAATATGGATTTCAGGAAAAAAAATTTAAACTTGGAGGTTCTTTTTCCAGATTGAATTTTTTTATTTCTGATAGTATAGTAGTCAATTGTTTGAAATGGAGTAGTGTGTTTATCCAGTTGTTTCGCAACTTTTTGAAGTTACTAGATGCTTTTGATATTATTAGATTGAACTAGGTAATTAATGACATTGGAGTTTACTTTGTGTATCATTTGAACACTTTGCCTTCAGGTGTTTTCAGTGTGCTTAGTCTGAATACAATGTTTAATTGTTCTTTACAGCCAGGCCTTCCATTTATGCTATAATCGCTGGAAATAAGTATGGAACATAGACGAATTCTGATGCATTAACATTCCATTTAGAGTACATATACGGTGCTGGACAGAAGTTCTACCATATTTGGTTTGAATCAGGTGAAAAGGTTCTTGGCCTTCTCTTAGTTAATTCTTTGTGAGAGTCTTGTATTGTTGGTGTTGTTCTAACGAGGCTATATTTTGGTTATAATATTAACTGCAAATTTGATCCTTTTGATAATCTTTTATCTTCATTTTTCTTAGTCATTGTAAGAATACACATAGGAACATTCTCCTAAATTCTTTTGTGGTTGTTTAGTTTCCTTTCATTAGTTTTCTTAGCGTAGTTGTATCTTTGGTGAAGGAGACAAACTAGGAATGTCATTTTTGTCTAATCCTTGAAAGAGATCAACACCCATGATGTCCTAGAAGTGAGGGCTTTTGATTCAGAACTGTTTTTAGGAAAGCAGAAAATGTAACTTTTTCATTTCAGATAACTACACTTAATTTAGGCTTCGTTTGGGACATCTTTCTTACTACTTCTTAAAACAATTTTTTTATATAAAAATTTTAATTTTCGTACTAAAAAGTTGCTTAAAAAGACAGTAAAAAAAGCTGTCCCTAACGGAACCTTAGCCACTGCATCACATAGTATTGGCTTTGAAGAAGTTTACTATTTGAATACATTAAACTAATAAATAAAAAATAGATAACATTATTGGCTGATTTAGAAATTAGTGTAAGATTTTGTCTAAAAGATTCATAATGTAGCTAAATATTCTTATACCGAATGTGAATTCTAGTTTTTTAGGCCCTGACCCTGACCTTAAAAACTTCAATCTAAACATCATCGTTATTAGCCTTAAACATATTATCTTCTTTCAAAAATATTTCTTTCTTAGACCTTTGATTTAATAACATATCAAAAATTTGTTTTCATTGATATCTTTATGTTTCGTTGCTAATACATCTAACTTTATCACCCATCGGCTTCTCCAAGAAAATTTCATCTCTCTTGCCTTAGCTATATATCTCCAAAACAATTTAAATGATGCATTTATTTTTATTAAACCATCAAGCATTTTCTAGGATCTCTCGTACAGTTTTCATGTGTCTTTCCAAATATTTGATCTTCCTTTACTTCTATAGAGACTCTCAAAGATCATTTTTAGTGAATCTTTTGTTCGAGGCGAGGTATTATTACAGCAAATTAAGTACAAGCGTATATGATGCAGAGCATCAGTAGATGATGAAAGAGGTTTGGAGGCTTTGGGGTCTTCCCAAATGAAAATCACATACCAAATAGAGGAGAAGTAGTTAATTGCCCCTAGACAGCCACATTCCTCCCAACAGAATGCTATATTCAAAACCCGTTGCACCATTCAAGGCAAAGTTTGTGAACTATCATTGACAGCGGCAGCACTGAGAATATAATTTTTCATGCCGTTATTCAAGCCCTTAAAACTGGCCACTACAAAGAATCCAAATTCATATAAAATTGGCTAGGTTAGGAAGGGAATGGATACGACGATAACTGAAATGTGTCGAGTCACATTCTCTATTGGAAAATATTACGTGTTAAGTTGTATGTGACGTGTTTGAGATGGATGTTTGCTATCTTATATTGGGGCGCCCTTGACAATTTGATGTTGGTGTTTGTTCACGATTGCAATGACTGTGGTGACTGGCACAGCTCTTCTGCAAGTCAGAAAACAAGAATCTGTAGGCTTATTTGCCTTAGTCTTGCAAGAACCAAATCCAGATCGCACTACAAAATATGTTTGGCATGAGGTACAACATTTATTAGAACAATTTTCCGTGATTACTCCTGCAGAATTGTTGTCCGAGTTACCCCCCTTGAGAACTTTAGCAGTGCCATTAATAAGATCACCTTTAAATTCTAGTTTCTAGCTCATAGGATCGACGAGTTACTTGATAAACTCTCGGGTTCAACAATTTTTTCTAAACTTGATTTGTGGAGTGGCTACCACCATATCAGAATTTGGCCTGGAGATGAGTGGAAAACTGCATTCAAGACGCGAGAAAGACTTTACGAGTGACGAGTGATGTCATTCGGATTATACAATAGATGACCACCTCAAACACTTGCAATTAGTTTTTGAAGTCTTGCAGTTAAACCAATTATATATTAATATACCTAAATGCGACTGCCTAGACTTGTGTGTATTTCCTTGGCTAAATCATATCAAGTAACGGCATCCATGTAGACCCGAAAAAGATACCGATATTATTCAGTGTCCGACACCACGCTCCATGTTCGATATTCGTAGCTTCCACGGCCTCGCCAACTTCTACGAATGATTCATCTACGGGTTTAGCATTATCATGGCCCCTCTTACCAGTTGTCTAAAGTCCAAGCTTTTTAAATGGGGCAGCAAACAACAACGAAGCTTTGAGACAATCAAGGAGGCCCATAGCCCATAATACTGCACCCTTGCACCCTTGCTAACTTTGATAGACCTTTTTCAAGTTGACACGGATGCCTCATCGACTGGTATCCGAGCTGTGCTATCACAATATCAACGCCCCATTGAATTTTTCAGTGAGATGTTGAGCAAATCTCGCTCAAAATAGACCGTCTACGAGCAGGAGCTTTATGACGACCTGCACTCCTGCAGGCATTCAAATATTGGGATCACTATCTTCTACATTAAGGGGCTGTTTGGTTGCCTGAATTAGGAGTGTAAAGTAAAACAAATACAGGTATATATTAAATTGGGTTGTTTGGTTAATTTGGAGCAGAACAAAAGAAAATCATCCGCTGTATTAGGGGTGTATTATGGGGGCTCTTTTGCGAGAATTAGAAACCCGCTCATATTGAGCGGGTTTTAAATTCGCTGGACGGAGAAAGGTACGGGAGTGGAGATCGGGATGTCGGAATGGAGATCGGAGATGGCGGAAGATAAGGATGGAAGAGCGGGGAGGAGAAGAGAGGTGGAAACGGAAGCAGAGAAGTCGTCACCGACCTCGATGGCGGAGATGGAGGTGATGAAGGGGAGGATGATGCGAGAGGCCCATGAAGAGGCCGAGGAAGGGGATGAGGCGAAGGCGAGGAGAAGGGAGTTTGGGACGGTGATGAGGATGCGTACTCCGGTGGAGTTGAGGGCGGCGAGAAGAGAACGTGAAGGGTTGGAAAGTTTAACGTGTGTGATGCTCTGGGAGACAAGGAATCGGGCGAGGTCGGTGGGAGCAAGAAGGCCGGAAACGTCTTCGCCGAGCACCACGTCTCCAAAAGGAGGTTCTCCACCGCCGTTACTGTCTCTGGAGTTCACAGGTGCTGGGCCAGTTCGTAAACGTCT